ATGGGGTAGTGAGTAGACAGAAAGAACTTGGGAGCCTAACAACTTTGTAAACCAGAGCCACTATACAAGTTTGAACTTTTACTTGAGAGAGAAATAAATTTCATTCTGCTTAAGCAACCGTTACATTGGGTGTGTTAGTCAGGTTGTTACATAAAATTAACCATCACACTGGGTGTTGTTTACAGCAGTGGAACCTGTGTTTTAATTAGTGGACTAGGCAGGGTGCTGTTTCTGGCTTTCTCTGGCTTGCCTGATTCCACTGGAGTGGAAGGAAGTCAGTCTTCTGACTACCTCTCCAACCAGCAGTGTGAACTAGAATATGTGGGCAGGCCCCATGCCCTGTGGGGACTCCTAGTGGCCTGTGAGGCCAAACAAGGTGCTGCCTGTGTACACTGGAACCCGAGCAAACAACTTGTCTGGGTAAAACCACCCAGAGTTGTGGCTCTGTGCTCTCTGACCTGCCAGGCCAGAAAGGGACTGCCTTTCTTTTACAGGAATGCTTGCCTTCTACCACACAGGTAAGCTAATCAATAAATCGGTTTCTTCTCTGTGAACAAACAACAGTTTAGCTAGGTCACAGGCCTTGGAAAGTGTGCCCTCCTCCCCTGCTACCCCAGGTCTTTTTTCTTTTCCAGAGAATCACATAACATAATTCAGTCTGCTTTTTAGAATGGGAGGGAGAGTAATTTCTGCAGTGGTCTCTCTCTTTCCCTAAGAATGACGTGTATAATAAAACTGGTTCCTTACTTATAATGGTTGCAGCTGCATTATCTCCCCTGTGGAGTCTCAGTCATGCCAGTGGTGGAGTGCCCATCCCTGAGTCATGTCTGTGGACTCACTGCATTCTTTGGAATGTTCCCATACCCCAAACCTCAGCTGCTTGATTTAGTACAAGATATGCAAGATAAATGTGGTATACCCTCTTCAGTGGGTTCCTTTTTATGTTCTCAAATGAAACAAGGAAGAAAAAGAACATGAAAATGATAAAAAAAAAATTGGAAAAACTTTCTAAATGTTATTTTTTAACATATCAGTAGATCATCTTGTATATCCCAGTTTGGAGACTATTAATTGCTCTGTGGCACAACACAGTGTGTCACAACCTTGACTACTGACCCAAATACCTCAGGTGCCTATTAAGTATAGGTTTTGCTTTTGCATGTGTTGTCCATATGAACACGATAAAAAACATACTCTCCAGTTTGCTGGCAACTCTCAACCCTCCTATTCTATTCTACTTAGTTCAATTACACATTTAACTTATCTGCCAAGCTCCTTTAGACATTTGTGTTTTTCATCTCTGTTTTAGGGAAAACAAATAAAGGGGATTCTGACTTTTTAAAAAGTTGAGGTAAATTTCACAGGCAGCAAAATGCATTAGTCTTAAATGTGTAACTAGATGAATTGGGGCAAATACATACACTCATATGATTAACATCTCAATCAAAATACACAACAATTCCATCACCCAACAAAGTTCCCTTATGCCTCCTATCTAGAGGCCATTCTTATTTCCCACAGGCAACCACTATTCTGATTATTATCACCATAGATTTGTTTGGGGACACTGACTTTTGTTACTTCATTGTCTAGCCCAAGTCATCAGAAAGGAAAATTTGATAGGGATTTAGAGTATAAGCGCAAGGCAGTTTTTTATTTTATTTATTTTTAAAATTTATTTTATTATTGAGACAGAGTTTCACTTTGTCACCCTGGATAAAGTGCTGTGGCATCATAGCTCACAGTAACCTCAAACTCT